TTTTCCTATAAAAACACTTACCCAGCCTCAGTATTTTCCTATAAAAACACTTACCCAGCCTCAGGAGCAGTGGGGACCAGTTTGTTTTTATTGCACCTTATGGTGACAAGGTCCAGTGGGGTTGGGATTGATTTGTGGACCAAGCAGAGCTGCTGTGTGAGCCCTTCCCAGGAGCTGGGATCCAGCAGCCCCAGGGATCACATCACTGACCTCTCACATCCCACTAAACCTCATTTGCTCTCTGGCCTGTATGCTCTGCTGTATTCAGCAGATTAAATTCCTGCACCAGATTTCTGATGAGGAGCAGCTCTGTGTCATCTCCATGGGTTGTGTTTCAGGAATCTTTTCAGGAATTTTTCCTCCCTCTGTTTGATTCCTGGTGGGATTCAGTGAAGCCACAACCTGGCTTGGCAATGCTAAATCCAGTTTTCCAATTGGTACTTTGGTTTTTTCGAAGTATCCAGTTTCAAAGCACCTTAACACTTTCCAGTGTGATTTCCCTGATGATTTTAGGGGTTTGAGATGATGTTGTTGAAGCAGTTGAGTGCCCAGATCCTGCCTTTCCCCCTTCAACAGCTCTACCTCAGGCTGTTGTTCTGCCACAGTTGTGCCTCTGTCCCTGCATTCAGCTGAGTGGCTCTGGGTGCTGGAAGGAAGGAAATCTCCCTCTATCCCAGTGCAGGATGTTTTTCCAGTTGGGAATTCAGTGGAACTCTTTGGTTTCACCACTTCCCCCAAGCCCTCCCTGCCTGGGGAACATTTCCATCCTGGTTGTGCCATCTCCCTTTGGATGGGGCTGGGATTGTGCTGGGATTGTGGAAGGTGTCCCTCCCATGGACTGGGTGAGCTTTCAGGTCCTTTCCCACCCAGACCATTCCATGATTTTCTGATTCCACCATCTCAGTTGAATTCTGCAGGCTTTGCCATCACCACTCAGATTTTTAGCTCCAAAATCACACCAGTGATGATTTTGCTGGAGAATGATACATTCCAAAACAAAGCTGGAAGGAATATCTGCAGTCCAGGGAACAGGAAAAGAATAATTTTACTTTTTGCCTGAATATATAATAATTATGATCCAGTCATTAAGTCTGAGGTATTTATTCAGTGCTGTTCTGAGGAGGACCCTGGACAAAAATGGCAGCAGCTCAGATATTTTCTACTCATTAATAGAAAAAATTGTAATACAAAGACATCTTAATGTTGCCTTCTATTTAAAACCAGAGTTGCCTCAGCACCACTGGGCTGTAAGTGCATCAATCTCCTTATCATTTATTAATGGATCTTTTTAAAAGCTTTTTATAAATGCTCGGTTTTTAAATTGCTTTTGTAATTTCCACTGAGGTTTTGGATTGCTGTTATCCACTCAGAAGAATAGTTGATCCAGCTTTCCAAACAAACCCAAAAACCAGATTATTTAGGGAACTGCCAGGGTTTAACTGTTTAACTCCAGCTGCTCTGGAATCCTGCAGCAGCCTCTCCATGCTTTGCTCCCCTCAATCAGATTTTCCTCCTGGATGTGTAAATCCCCTTTGAACCACCCTGCATCCATCAGGGGGAGTGTGGGATATTCCCTTCCCAGTGATGCAGTTCAAGTTCTCAGAGAGATTTATTTGAAGTTCTCACAGAGATTTGCTTTGTTCAAGTATTGCCATGGAAGCTTTGTTAGAGGATAGTGAATTTGAATTACCAGTGATGCAGTTAAGCTGTGTCCATATTTACATCAAATCACACCTATTTTTACTGACAGAAAATAAAGTAATTCCAATTATAGCACTGATCACTTCAAATATCTGAAAACAGGGTTAATGTAGATAAAAAAATAACTGTAAAGAAGTTTTACAGGGTTTTACCTTTTTTTTTTTGTTTTTGCTGTTTCTTGAGTCCTGCATTTATGTGTAGTGTTTGAGCATCTCCTTAAGGCAGGCAGGAGCTCAGCTGCAGGGCACATTGTTGGAATTAATCTAGAAATGAATGTACTGATGTTTATTTGTTTGGGGTTTCTTTTTTCAGTTTTAAACTTTCCTGTTACAATGACTTTTTTGACCTTGTGAATGTAAACTTTAGGAAAATAATGGTGTTTAAATCAAGAGATGGGATAGAATTCCTGTGCCTTATTCTCTCAGTTCTGTGTGGAAAGATGATTTGATTGTTGGGTTAGGGCTGATTTTGCACAATTGAGTTAAAAAGGAATTTTTGGGCTCTTTTGGGTGGCACAATACAAAAGGGTCAAAGCACATATTTGTATTTTCCTTGCATAAGAGTCACTTTATTATAAATACTGCCCTGGGAGGCATTGCTGGGGCAGCAAGGAATAGGAATAACTCTGTCACAGGAATAACTCTGGGACAGCTCCCTGCCAAGGCAGGAGGAGGATGAGGAGGTTTGGAGCTCTGTGCTGGTCTCACCCCAGCTCTCTCAGGATTCCTCTGCTCTCACCTTGTCCTGGCTGAGACAACGTCCTTGCTGTTGGAGTGTTTGATCCCCGCTCCTGCATTCCAGAACTTTCACTCTGCAGGCGTCCCTGCCCACCTTGGTGCTGCTTTTCTGTCAGGGATCACAGGAGGGTCTCCCCTGGCTTTGGGAGCTCCAGAGCTGGAGTTTGCTTTGATCTCCACAGGGTTTTAGAGGACTGGAATTCAGCTTTGGGTGAAGGGTCCCCTCATGCCTTAATTTGGGATGTTTTAACTTGTATTTCCTTTTGTTTTGTGCATCTTGTTTTTGTGGCCTTTATGACATTGTGTATTTATTGTGTGTTACCTGCCTGACCATAACAGAAATCAGTCTGCAGACAACACCTGGAGCAGGGAATGCTTTGTTTTCCTGGGATCCAGGCCCTTCCCCAGAGATTTTCCCTGATGTATAGAACCCTTCAGCTGCTGCATTTGACACTGTTACATTAGTGTGCAACTACAATAAAGGAACAGAGAAACCCATGCCTGTATCTCGTTGTGTAATTAAGCTTTTCAAGTTTAAAAAAAAATCAGATTTCCTGTCTAGAAAAGATTAGAATTCCTGATTGGGAATGCCCCAGTTCATTAGGAGCAGAGTCTGATCAGCTGTCAGATGTTCTGTGATGCTTCCAAGGCCTGGAAGGCTCTGCTGAGCTGGGTCAGAATGAAAGCACAAAGAGCTCTCTGTGCTGCTGGAGGGTGTCCCATGATTGATCACACCCAGCCAGATGCCACAGGCCGTCTCCAGCAGCATTCCAGCCTTCCAGGACCTTTCCTGAGCTCCTTCTTTGGCCACTGCCCATTCAGCTGGACCTGTCAGCTGAGCTCCTTCCTCTGTCCTGTCATAAATCTGAGCCTGGAGCTGGGTGCTGTGACCCAGCTGCTGCTTGTGGCTGCAGAAATGCTATCAAGTAACCCTAAAAAACCCTTTAAATAAATTAAATTATTGATACCAATTAGAAGTTGATCAAAGAGAGTGGGTTTAGATGGGATTTGGGGAAGGGATCATAACTGGGAGGGAGGGAGGCCTCACTCAGTGTGCCCAGAGCAGCTCTGGCTGCCCCTGGATCCCTGGCAGTGCCCAAGGCCAGGCTGGGCAGGGCTTGGAGCACCCTGGGACAGTGGAAGGTGTCAGGGTTGGAACTTTAATGTCCCTTCATCCCAAAGCATCCCATGATTCCGTGAACTTTGGTTAAAATCAGTGTTAATTTCTGTCACAGCTGAGCTGCACCTGGAGTCCAGCTCTCACCCAGACCGGTTTTGTTTTGTTTAGCTGGATTAACCCAAAGAAGTTTCTTTGGAGATTCCATTCCTGGTTAAGGAATACTCCTAAAATAATTGTAGATAAGGTTTCTAGAAGGTTCCCCAAGTGTGCTGGTCGGTGGAGAGAGTGGCCTGGGTTTTCTTCAGGAGAAAGAGTGGCCTGGGTTAGGAGTGAGGCCAGCTCAGCTCTTGTGACCATTTAATGGCTCTGGAAGCTGCCACCCCTTCCATTTAGCCACGAAAAGCAGCTCTGAGCTCTTTATCAGCACAGCTGAGGTGTTTGCTGAAGAAATGGGGGATTGATGCCAGCAGGATCAAGGCAGCTTTTCCAAATAACTGCTTCAAAACATCCCCATCCCTCCTCACAAATGGCCCATTTGCTCCTGCTCCTGCTCATTGTTTGTGCTTCTGACAAATCCTTCCTTCCCTGCTGGTTTTTGATGTGCCAGGCTGTGAGTGTTAGCACATGGAGAGCTGATTGGATAATCAAATAGTCTTCAAAGATCCTGCGGAAGAACTCGGGGCCCCGAGCAGAGGTAATGCTCAGGGCCAGCTGATAACAACACCGCCACTGGCAGCTGCTTTGAAGATATCGGCTCTGGGAACACACCCCAGTGCCAGGCTGGTGTTTTCTCAGGAATACAAATGGAAAAAACAGCTGCAGAATGAACTCCCATGCAATAAGTTGCAATAATTTGTAAGAGAGTCAAGCACGAGGTTGGCTTGGGCCAGGGCAGTTCAGTGGCTGCTGTCCCACGGCCTCTGGAGCCTTTCAGAGGCATTTCAGCCCTCAGCTCTGAGGCCAGGAAGAAATTCCCCTTTGGAAGAATTAGAACAGGAGAACTGTGTCCCATTCTTGTGGGAGTTCATGGAAATGTCTCTGTGGGTTCCTCCCAGGTGTGAAATGCCCATGGTGGGATTCTTGGGGCCAGCAATTGAACTCGATCCCTGTGGGTCCCTTCCTGCTCAGGAGATCCTGGTTCTAGGTCGTTATTGGCCTTGAGGAACTCAGCCTGGAGCACTGGAGAAGCAAATCCCTTGATAAATTATTTTATTCCCCCAAATCTATAACTGAGTTGGAGTATTCATGTGAAAACACCTGAAGCAAATACTTAATTTCAATCCCAGTCCTGTCTGCTGCATCCTGATGCACCAAGGCTGACACTGGGATAATCCCATTTGTTGTAAGTATCTGGTTCTTTTCATGATTTCATGGTCCTGGGATAAATCATGAAATGCAGTAAAAAAATATCCTGTAATGGTGAACTAGTAAAGTAAAAAAAAGGTTTTTGAGGTTATAGAAAACCTGTGGTAAATGTTTTGTTGTTTATTTTTAATTAATTGTCAGAGTCTTTTCAGCCTCCTCAGGATCCCATTTCTCCTTGAAAACTGGAGGACCGTGCTTTGTGCCAAGGTAATTTCTGGTTTTGCTCCCTTCCAGAATTTGGATGTTTACCTAAAGTCAACAGCAGATTTTTGAGCTCCTGAGCAGCCACTAGATGTCAGGTTTGGATTAGTGCTCCGAGGATTGGGCTTGTTGGGATTCTGGAATGGCTGGAAGTGGTGGTGATGGAGATGAAATGTAACTGAAATGTAACTGAAATGTGCCCTTTCCCCCCAGAATGTCCACCTCACGTTTCCCTGGAGGTCCCTTGGAGAAAACCTTCCAGGCCACCTCCTGCCTGTCTGAACGTGCCCAGAGGGGGCTCCAGGAGGAGGAACCAGCCTTGGTTTGGAGCTCGGGCACCGCTCCTGGTGTGCCAGCCCTGCCCGGGAGGCAGCTCCTCACAGGTACCACCACCCTCAGAGGGAATGTTTGCAATCACAGCTCCAGGCTGGAGCCCCTGAGCTCCTCTCCTCCCACCAGGGCAAGAGGGAATCTGAATTTCCTCAGGGATTGGCTCCTTGGACATTACTGTAGTACCCAAGTGATTTACCCTTGCCTTCAGTGAGGCACACATTGCCTTTTTTGCCCGCACGACTCCCAGATGGGTGAATTATTTTACATTTTCGTTTCACAAACAAGCATTTTGGTGACTTTGCCATGTGTCAGATTTGAGATTGGTGACTCATTAGTGTTTCAGAGAGGCCTTTTTGGCGATTTTGGTGTCTGCCAGGAGGGGCTGATTCCCGCAGCGCCTCTGCAGAGGTGCAGGTGATGCAGCACCGGGGCCTCGCCCTGTGCTTGTGGGCTGGGATGGAAAAGCAGGGCAGGATGGGGCTGGGAGAGGCAGGATATACTTAC